GAGAGTAGACGAGGTGCAGGTAGGAAAAAGAAACGCCGACACGAGACAGCAGAAGATAAGATCCGTTCATCACAGGGAACACAAGGCTCTAAAGCTCGGAAATGCAGTAGATGTGGACTTATAGGACACAATAGAAGAAGATGTGATACACCAATATAGGAGTGTCAATGCGTTTAAAAGACTATTTGTTTTGTTCATCGTTTCTCGGTTTATGCAACTTTTATTTTGAAGACTATGTCTCCTTTATCCAACTTTTGTTTTGAAGAATATGTGTTTCGTTTTGTCTCATTTGTCTCGTTTATGCTTGTTTAGAAGACTATGTGGTTTGTATTTTAAAAACTAACACAAACCGATATATTTTTATAGTATGAGAGCATTAGCAATGAATGACAATGGCTCTATTGGTAAACTACCTCTACTATTTCCCTCTAAACCTGGGTTCGAGCCTCCGGGTATGCAACTTTTGTATTTTCTTATTATTCACAAAGTCGATATATATTTATAGTATGAGAGAATTACCAATGAATGACTATGGCTCTATTGGTAAACTACCTCTACTTTCTCCCTTCAAACCTGGGTTCGAACCTCTGGGTATGCAAGAATATTTTTTTTTAGTAATCAGAAAAAATATGAAGAACACTCCTTAACACGTAGAGAGTTTATATATCACCATGGGAGTGAGTTCTCATCTTCTTCTCTCATTGCTTCAGTCTTAACTTTTATTTTCATGCTAGAAGCAAAGAGAGAGAGCAAGACATTTACCGTACAACAGAAGTGTACAAAAGATAAAGCTAAATGCTTTCTAAAACAGAAGTGAACAAAATATAACTTGCTTACAAAACATTCGTTATGTCCTTGTGCTTACAAAACAAAGCTAAATGCTTCCTATCCGATAAAAACACATACCATTGGTTCAAACCAAACATATCCGATAAACACCAATCCGATAAACAAACCAAAACATATTCAAACCCAACATATTTTACATTACTAATACTAACTTCTACACATCCGTTGGTTCCATGGGATGATGAGAGCATGAACCGATTTGAAAAGCACTTCCAATAGGAACACCGCTTCCGATTACTCCTTCATCTCCTAGCAATTCAGGGACCTCATGCTGTAGTGTGAGGATCTGGAAAATGAGGTTGGGGAAGATGAGTCTTGTATCAGGATCTG